TCTTAGCAGTGTGTTTGTTTTCAGCTCGTACATGTCATGCATCAAGAAAAGGGTGGAACTTTTAATTGATTCAAATCCTGCAGCTAAACTAAGAACCATTACAAACATGTAATGAAACTTAAGTTGAACTGAGAAATGAATACATTTTGAAACTAATAGTGTAATTTTGACTTTATAATAAGACCTTTATTCAAAATTCATTAACATTCATCTCAAACTAGCTTTTTCTTTTCTTTTTAACTAAATATATATATGTGTGTGTGTGTATTTTTTTTTTTTTTTTTTAAATTAAAGATTCCATAATAAAATATGCTCGCAATAAGAAAAAAGAGCTTTGCCTTTGAATTCCTATCAATAAACTCTAGTAATATAGTAGTTACAGAAATAAATTAATAGAATGCAGTTGTAGAAATAAATTCCTATATTCTATGAAATGAAAATGTAAGTCCAATTGTTTCTGTAAAACAGACATAGAAAACATTTGTAACTGATATGCACAATGCATCTATAAATTTTAAGACAAAATTTTTTAAAAAATTGAGAGTTTAGAAAAGAAATTCTTAATTCTTAGTCTATATAACACTTGGCACATTCATACAACTGCTTGATTCATCCATAAAACCTTTTCTAAATCCTTTTTAATCATGTGGTTATAGTTTTCTGAAACCCTTCAATGTAATTAAAATGATGACCTTTGAAATGAGACTTCATTTTAGAGGAGAAAAAATACTCTACAAGTGACAAATTCAAAAAGTAAGGAGTTGGTTGAGAATTTTGACGTGTTTCTTTGCTAGAAACTGCTTGACAAGAATGGTATTGTGTTATGACACATTGTTAGGCAGCAGAAACCAGTTATTCACTTAAGCTTTTTCAGGTCTGATGCACTGAAATCCCTTAAGAACTCGGTTCATTACATTTTTATAAAATGAAAAATTCACTTTTTGTCCATCAGAAATTAATTCCTTGTGAATTATTTTTTTCCATTCAAAAAAGATTGCCAACATGGTGTTTACTTGAAATTTCTGAAACTGAAATGTCTATGGTTTGGTAAACCTTCTTCATTCTGAGCAGATGACTGATATTTTGCATAAGGATCATAAGCAAAGTATCAGGTTTCATCTCTCAGTTTGTTTGAAAAAAAAGCAGGATTATCATCTGCCATTTCGATCAAATCATGGCATGCAGAAATTTTATCTTTGTGTTTTGCATCCAGTGCTTAAGGGAAAAAAACAAGAACAAAATGCTGTTTTTTCAGAATCGTTCATGATAGTTCTGCGAGCACTGCCTTTAGAATGCTAACCTCATCAGCTAGCATTTGAAAAAACAGATGACAGTTGTTCAAGAATAATTGCTGAACTTTTTCAATTTTCTCATCCGTTGAAGATTGTGAAAATCAACTACTCCTTGGTTTATCATCAGCATTTTTGTGTGCATCATAAAATCATCCATATCAATGAAAAGCATTGGAATCTTGTTCATACTTTATCATTTATGCTTTATATAAAACTTCAATCTCATCTTTGCTATTTTCCCCACCTTATAGCAAAATTTCATTGCTATGCTTTACGCAGTCTTTTAGGAAAAACAAGTTTAAATACTCTATAATAAATACTGTCAAAGGAATTTGTTAAAAATTTAGTTCTAAAACTTTGGAAACCCGCTGTGTACGTCAATCAATGTTGTTTTAATTATGCTTATTGAAAGTATTTATTTAGTATTTATAGATCATTTTGCTGAATTAATCTATTGTTAAAAATACAGTTAAAATCTACTACTGATGAATGTTATAATATTTTACTTTTTTTGTCAAAATGAATCATTTTTATGGGGAATTTATTACAGTATAAAATCGGAGATCCTTGCTTCCAATATCCGGAATGATCTAAAATCCGGACCTTAAAGCCACCATCCAATTTTTTTTTAGAATTTTTTATGCTTTACGCATGTGCAATTCATTTTTTTCCTCCATAATAAAACATGTGGAGAATCCCTATTCTTAATCTCACTACAACACTAAATAAGATACCTCGTTATTGAAGAAACGATCATTTTAACATAAATTTGTGTGACCAGTGATTTGGCTTCGTAGCTGCTTGGCATATATCTCAAACTGAAATATTCTACATAGAAACATAGTTGATTTTATATCCATAATGCCAACCTGGCAAATCATTATTTATTATATTTTGCTTTCATCACCATACATTTATCAACATATGATAATTTGAGTAATGATTCATGCAGCGATGCCTAAACAAATTTTGGCTTAATCCTAGTATACGATACACTTGGAATTTAGCAACATTATGATGATCGGTAAACGTGGTGTTTATGATGAGCTGTAATGAGTCATTTTGGTGTTGGCGACAATTTTCAAAATCGCACCAAGGCCTTACCGTATGCTAGGATTTTACCGCCAAAATATGTCATGAAGAAATGAACTTAAAAACTGAGTGTACATATTCGACAGATTGGTTAACCAAATTTTAAAATTGTCGTGGTATAATGCAATTAAAAATTTCAGGTGAAAACGCTCCAGCTGATACTGAAGCTGCTGAACTGTTTGCAAATGAATTCATTGAACTCATTATTAGTGAAACGTTATCTCCAGGACAAGTTTACAATGCTGATGAAACTGGTCTTTTCTGGCAATACGTACCATGACCTCGAGCATAAAGGAGTAAAGATTTTCCCCATTATATATTGGGCAAATAAAAGAGCACAGATGACACAAGCATTATGTATGATTGGTTTGAAAATCATTTTATATCCTAGGCTCGGCAACATTTGAATTTGGTTGGTTTACCTGATGACGCAAAAACTGTCCTGATTGTACACAACTGTTCAGCTCATATTTCACTTAAAATTTTAATGAAAGGTAATGCATCCGTGTTGTCCTTTTATCCAAACTGTATGTCTAAGCCTATGGATATCGGAATAATGCACCCGCTCAAATGCAAATATAAAGTAGCATTTTTAAAATTCATGTTAAATTTCGTGAATAATAGCAAGACTGTTCAAGAATTTTTGAAATATTTTAGCATAAAATCTGCTGTGTGGAGCATCGTAAGATAGTGGTAGGATGTGTCTCCAGATATATTAAAAATGCTTGGCATAATTTAAGGATAGCAGGTCTGCATCAATAATAGGTGCAGTCGTGCAGCGTGCGTATGATCATAGTAGGATGTGTCTCCAGATACATTAAAAATGCTTGGCATAATTTGTGGATAGCAGGTCCGTGTCAATAATAGGTGCAAGTTGTGCGCCGCATGATGGTGCCGAGTCAAAAAGGCTGCGGGAAATCATCAAAAAAAAGTAGTTCATCTCGCTGCCTGCCTGAACAGGAAAATTCTTGTCTTATCTGAACGCTCCTCAGAGTGGGGGTCGACTCAGATAAAACATCGGAAGCTACTGATTAGGATCTGTACCTATGCAGTCTTGGCCATGGATGTTTAAAATCAGTTTCCACAGGACTGGAATCATCTGTTTCAGGTTCGGCAGGGACCGTATGGCGTTCTCGTCCGTTCCGTTGGTTATGGTTGAGCTACATAATCAGATATTTATGGTTGTCTGGGGCAAAACACCCTAGTCGGTGGAGTTGGGAAATTCAGCGAACCTTTAAACTGCTTGAGGTTTCCAGTTGGTGCCTGGAGCCTCAAAACTGCATATTCATATCCTTCCTTGGTTTCTATCTGAAGGTGCCTAAAGCCATCATCTGTATACCGTGACGTAATGTTAGCAGGCCGGATTGGTGGCCCTGTCTTTCTGACAGTGTTTATGTGACTTCATTCTGCTGTCTGGGTTTGGGGGCCTCTATTGATGGCAGATGTTGTTACAATCCCTCCGAACAGGGTTGTGGAATGTGAGTTGCTAAGTGTTCCTGTCGACTCAGCTTAGACTTATCTCATCAGCTCGACCGATAAGTTAGCGGCCTCTTGGATCGCCTTTAGGGGTTGGGGCGTTCAACTGTGTTAAAGGCAGCCTCTAGCTTGCCAGGTCTGAGTACCCCTTTCTCCTAGCATACTGTCTTATTTGACTGAAAGTTATTGCCAGAGCAGGAGCTCGTCTCTGGTATTCTCTTCTGTCTTATTTGAACTTGAATACGTGATGACGATGCTTATGTAAGGGCTGACGCATTTGACAAGTTGCTTAATCTTTATTTTGTGTTTACTGTTGCAATAGTAGTAATTTGTGCAACATTTATCTTTTCTATGATTGCTTGTTATTGTTTTTGTACGTAAAAAGGTAAGTGCGGTTACATATTAAGGAAGGAACATATGTCTAGAATTACTGATAGGAACTTTAATATTGCAGAAAATCATGGAGTATTTAAAAAAAGCTTTAGCCTAGAAGAATTCTATTTAGTAGAAAATCATGAGTCTTTTACATAAAACAAAAAACATGTAGATATTAGATATACATAGTAATACCACATGTACTCACATATTTCTCTCTATGATGCATCCTCCTTCCTCCTAACTTTTTCAGAAAATAATTTGAAAATTTCTGATTTATGAGAAGAACATAAAATCTGTGTATAGATAGAAGAATATATTTCATAAATAAAAATATTATTATTGAAAATAATAAACATACTTGAAATATAAAATCCTTTAATATATATATATTAGTACATTTATTTACACATGCTTCTTAATGTGTTATGCTTTCTATTTAAGCCTTTCCTTCAGAAGCAGTATACATCATATAATTTTTCCCTTTGAATTTTCAAAATATAGAATTAGTAAAAAAAAAAAAATAAATAAATAATAAGGATTGGGAATTAGTAAGTGAATATGGTTTGCTGGAAAATGTAGCTGTATTATTTTTAAATGAATGTTTCATCATATGCATAAAAAAATAGAATTTACAAAAGGGAAGTTCTCTCTAATTTTCAGTCTTATTTTAATTGTTATGCAATTGCTAATTTTAGAAAAGTTAAAATTATTGTACTTGTGTTATTATATCAGTTTCTGAAAAAAAAAAATATTTTTTGTTAGGAAGTGAAAGATTTTATTGATCAAGACCCTTCAACCAACTATGATTTGCTGAGCAACATAGAGCTTAAAACAATCAATAAATGGGATGTCAACAGTATGGAAAGTTATGATACATATGCAACTTGCAATTCTCAGCCCTGTGCCTCTCTTGCTGATTTATCAGCAGATGATCCATTTTCCATCCGACCACCTCCAACTCCCCCCTCTCAGAACTTGAATTCAAGCAATCTTTATATCAATCCTCTTGAAGAAACACCTCAGACTGCTCAAATTGTAACAAGTGAAGGTTATACAGTTCAACACCACTATTTTCCTCAGCACTCACCAATTGGCAAAATGTCTAGTTGTTCATCCACTGATAGTGGCAGCTGTTATGAAGAACCTGCTGGTAGAACTCCTGAAGGATATTCTTCCCTACCTACCTCTCCTGATCCTCGACAAGACTCTCATCAATCATTAACACCTGCTCTCACTGCAAAAAAACCATGGTTTTTTCAAGTTCGGAAACCGAAAACAAGGTTTGATACACCTGATATCTTCCAACACAGTCTGCAATCTTCTTTAGACTCAGTTATAAGTAATTCTAGCTCTAGGCAAGGCAGTGGTGCATCATTGGGAAAATCTAGGTTTATGAAACCATCCTTTTCTGTTAGAGGTAAATGTTATTTACAAATCTGTTTCTTATATATAATATTATATGTATTAAATTTATGTGTTGTGTTTCTAAACCCACATTAGATTGCTGCTTTATAATGTTCTACAATTTTCAATGTACCATGTTTTCCTAATCAGAGCATAAGCTCAGCAGTTTTTTAGAATGCTCTTAATATAAGCCTTAGTTAAAATTATCAGACAAACTTATTGCAAATTACCGAATGAAATACAGACTCGTCATGCATGCACACTTGATACTGAATGGATGTGGTTGTGACTATTAGAACCTTCATAATTAAACATGTTGTGTGTTATAACTGACATTTTAATCAATGCATATATGTTCCTATGAAATTTTTAAAAAAATTTTTAAATTTTGTGCCTGAACTTTTTTAACACTTTTCCATAAACTATCATTCTTAACAGTTTTTGTAGCAAATTGAAAGGGAATAATATTTTAATACCTAAAAAAGATGAGTGTAAAAAAAGAGCTATTTTTATCAAGAAAGAAATTGTAAAGGACCCCTGTGTAAGAATTTCACAGCTTTCTGCAAATAGAAGTTAGATCTCTGAAAATGGTGATCAGAATATAATAACCTGCAAGATGAATGAATGGTGAAGAATTCACGGGATAAAATTACTGATAGCTGTATTTTTAATACATTACAAACTGGCTACAGGGACAAGAAGTGCACATTTAAGGAGAGTTGTGTTACTGAACATGAGAAATTAGGGCTAGGATCAATAGTTCTGAAAGAAAAATCACAAGCAGGTTAGACTGAAATTCAAGTTTTGAAGCTTTATGATGATGTTTCAGGAACAGTTAATATGATTGTACTTAAATAAATGTAACTTTTAATTAATGAATGAATAAATGTTGATTACAGTAAATGGATAAATGTTAATTGTTTTGCATGCGCAAAGAAGATATCCATGAAAATTAGTCCTAAACTGGCTTTTGGAGCAAAAACTAATTACCCTGTCTTATTTTTGGGGAAAACATGGTATCATGTTTGTTATTGATATAAAAATTGTTTCTGAAATGTATAAATAATTTGTACTACAGATCGCTCATGATTATCCAATTGTATATTAACCAGTTTACAGATTAATCAGGCCCTGTGTTAAAGAGATTTTAAGGTTATTTATTACCAAACTATGGAAAATTACTGCCACAAACCATGAGCTTGAAAAAAAAATATAATTAGAGAATACGCAAAGAAAAATGTGTGGGTTAGCAGTAGTAATAGCAGATGGTGTCATAATGTAAGGGAGTTGGTTTTGTTATCAATAGCATGTAATTTAATTGTATGCATTCTGGAATATCTAAACATTGTTAAACCATCCATTTGAAATAAATTTCTCAACTTTAATAAATCATGCATACAGACATTATATTTATGTTTCACATTGTCTGTTACCAAAACATAAAAGTAATGCAAACAAATAGCATGAACATTATGAAGTGAGAGAAAAACATAAACAAGAGTTATAGGCACTCTGTCTCTCAAGAGAACTTTAAATATTGAATTAACTTTATATCGTATTGAAGTTAATGATAAAACTACTTGAAAATATAATTATTAATAATATTTTTACATTAATTTTAATACGGGCTATTACTCTTTTCTCTTCTTTTTTTTTTAATTGCCCTTGATTTAGCCATGATTTTGTGTGAATCGTAGATGTCTCTGATATTATCCTGGTTAATCTGGAGTTGACTATAGTTCATTCTTTTTTTTTCCTCCTAGGAAATGGGCAATGATATTAAAATCACTGAGAAAGCATTACATTATTTCTTGTATTAATTTAGAGCATGTTTTTCATCTTTTAAAAAGGTTGTTTTTTTTTTTTTTTTTCTGTAAATAACTGTGCTGTTGTAGTGACGTTATATGTAATGCAATTGAAGAATAAGCACATTTTTTTCATATTTCAAGCTTATAATAGAAAAGTAGAAAGAGTGAACTCTTAACAAAAAAGAATTGAGATAGAAAGTAATTTCTTTAAATTCCTTTACCCACTCAATAGTTTTTTAATTTGTCTAATAAATGTTTTAAAAAATAATCTTCTTGTTAACTTCCCCTCTCATAACTATTTGCTTGCCATTATCTCAAACTAGGAAGCCTTGTATAAAAAAATTATGTAAATTAATTAGTTGAATCCTTATTTAATAAATTTACTCCATGTTCTGTTAGTTAATGATTTGTGCTAATAATGAAAATTTTTTATATTCAATTTTGAGATGCAAGGTGCTTATTGTTTATGTTTATTATTTAATTCTAAATTGCTTTTTATCGTCATTATTGATATTAATATGAACTATGATATGGCCATTTTATTCATAAGTGTTAAAAAATTTTTAATTGAAGTTTTTGCCTTTTTACTCTAGCTTAACATTTTTAGCTCCTAAATTGGCATAGCATTTTGTACAATTTTTTGTACAGTGTTGCTTATCTAATACAAAAATTAAATCTTGTGAAAGTGTAAAAAAGATTAAATTTATGCTGTTAATTATAAAATTTTTATTCTTGATTCCTAGTTTGAGCTAATGGCAAGCAAATACAGTTATGTATCCAAAATAAGAGAAATGTTTCCTATGTATCCAAAATAAGAGAAATGTTTCCTTAATTTCAGTTAAGCTTAATTATTATTTAAAATTTATTTAAGTATTTATTTAAATCAAAATGATTTTAAATTTTTTATTAAAAAACATATATGTTCCACACTTTTTACTCCCCTCCTTCTCCATGTCATAGACCAATGTTTCTCAACTGCCGGTCTGCAGACTGGCACCGGTCCACAAGAAATATTTGCCGATCTGCGAAATATCCAGCTATCTGTCCAAAACCTAAAGTTTCATCGGCCGACAACCCATATTACAACAGCACCTACATTACAATAACAATAGTTTATTAGTTTAGAAAATAATATGATCGATGATGAAAAACATAACAAACTGGCAACTATGTGCCTAATTGTCTTTCATAAATTGCTGTGCCATATACTCTGTATACCAGTTAGTGTGCCCCTGTCTGCCTTGAGCATCGCTGATTACTTGAACCCTGAATATCTATCATAGTGTTTAAGGCATTTTAGGTTAGGTTTTCGCTTTTTATCTTGCTTACATTCTTCTGCACGCGTGGACAACTGAAAAGTATACATCAGCGTAAGTTTTTAATAACCATTGAATTTATTACTGTGCTATAACTACTATTTCTTTAACTTTAGGAAGATTAAAAATTAATAACAAGGTTCGGGTCATGTACCTTTTTAACGAGTGATGATCTAAGATCCATGAGTGAGAAATAAACGAAAGGCACTTTACTAAATTTTGTCCAAAGAAAGGATTCTATAAAACCAAGTACATTGTCTGCTCCTTTGAATACAAATGAAGGTGAATATAGTCCACAATCTGCCAAAAAAAGAAAAAGCTTTGTGAGGCACTATATCACAGACTATTTGAAATATGGTTTTGTCCTCTTGGCCACAATCAAAAGAAATTGTCCAAAACCTAAATGTGCTGTTTTTAGAGATGCTCTTTCCAACGAAAGCATTATTATGAATTCCGATTATTTCAGTTGCTGCCACTTGAGGGTGAGAAGAGGTTTGCAAGTGGCGCTTCAGGTATAGTAGATAAGGGATCCTCATTCGCCTGTCGAGGGGCCGTCACTGATCCGTTTTTATATGCAAGGGTTTTTGTGGTTATTTTTTAGTAAATATTGTGTGATTTTTCTCAAAGGTTTATGTACTTATATATGATAATTATACTGATATGTAATAATTACAATATTTACTTATCTTTATATTTAAATATGCTTGTAGGCAAATGGTAATAAGACTATTACAATTAACTTATATAGTAATTCTTGAATACCTTGTAAAGTTTTTTGGAGGAAAACAACTGGTCTGCGAAATGTTTTCGTAAGTTTTACTGATCCGCGAACCAAAAAAAAATTGAGAAGCACTGTCATAGACCATTTCAAAATTTAGGCAAGTTAAAAAAAAATTCTTTTCGAAAATGGTAACTTCATTCATTCTTTTTAATCCTAAAAGAAAATTTTGTTAACCCTCTGAGTGGCACAGGATTTTAAATCTGTCATGAAAACGAGTATTTAAACAGAATTTAGTAATTTAGTTTGTATAATTACTTATTTTAGTCTGTATTTTCATAAACTTACATTCATCAAGATGATGTTTACATTATTAAAGAAAGTAAAAAAGTAAAACATCTTAAATTATAAGCTAATATATGCCAAGTAGCATAACTTCTGATGACCTGATAAACCCGGTCATAACACTCAGAGGGTTAATTTTATAATGCTTTTAAATACTGAAATCCTGTAGGATGTTTTTTACTAAATGCAAATGAACAAAGTGGAATTCGTTAGAATTATGCCCAGTTTTATGTTAACTGGATCTGATATTTTCTACTAGTAGAATACACGCATTGTGAAAGGTTCTGTATGTAGAACTTTCGCGAACTCTGATGAAATTTTTATAGAATCCCTGCACAAATCTTCATTAAAATATCTCTACATATCTGTGTAGAATCTTTATACATAAGCTATATCTCAAATGTTATAGAATTCTATAAGTCTTTAACCCAGTTTTATAGAAAGCTGAGCCATAATTCTAAAGGATTATGAAGAAGTTTAACATTGGATTTTTTTACAGAATTCTATGTTATTTTTGTAAGGATAACTATTGGAGAGGCCATAATGTGAAGATACTCACTGAAGAATAATGCTGTTGCATGTGGGTTTACAAATACCAAGACAGCATGTAATTTCTTGAAGTCATATTGAGTCTACATATGAATGTGAAGAAATAGCATAGTTGCTACCATTAAAATCCATGAATGTAAAGCTGCATGTTTCAAATGAGGTTAACGATTCTATGAACATATACAGTGAAACCTTGTAAGCAATCACCTCTAAATTTGTCAAAAAAATGAGTGTAATAATTACAGATAAGCGTGTCTCTAAAAAATAATTAAATAAC